ATGGTGATCAAAAGTACATAGCTTTGAGTTGGGATGCTTTTAATAAACAATGACTTATTGAGAATAGTGACTCAAATCTCATAATAGATTTGTTTGAAACTAAAATAAACAAGAAGCCTTGTCATAGAAAAATTCTAAAAAGAAAAATATTTTTGATAAGTAAATTGGTATGCTTATAAATAGCTAAAATCTCTAAAAAATTAGTTATAAGAAAAAAATGTAAAAGAATTGTAGGATTTTATAAGATAATATCTCATAGGACTATTGGAGATTAATATTCTTATGAGTGTATATATTTAAATATTTGTGAGTAAATTAGAAGAGATTGAGAAGATCCACGTAAGAATGATGATTGTTTTGTTTAGATAGACTAGAGGAGATTGATATAATCCACATAGATATTGATGCACATGGATATATTGTTTGGATTGAAAATATTTTATAGGACTAAAGGAGATTGAAAGTGTTTAGAAGTATTAATTGTTGAGTGGTTGATATGATTAATATGTTTGTAATTCTCTATAACTAATAGATCTTTTTTCTCATCCATGAACGTAAGTCGGTTAGATTAAACCACGTTAAATAGCAATCTATTGTGTGATTGATTAATTATTTAATTTTATTTTTGTTGGCGTTAATGTTAAATTGATTGGGGCTTTTTTTAGTCCAACAAGTGGTATCAGAGCTGAATGCTCGAGACATGGGAATATACAAATTCAGAGGAGCTCAATTTAAGAGAAAAGTTCGAGTTCGTGTTTTAAGAATTGATTTATGTAAAGCTTAGGATACAAAAAAAGATGATTGCAAGACTTCCATTGTAGGTAGAACCAATAATATTTGGCATGAAAACTAATAATTTAATAAATTTTGAGTCAAGGTAAAGATTATTGAAAATAGTAACTCAAATCTTGTAACAGATTTTTTTGAGATTGTTAGATATTATTTGATGAATAAAAAGACTTATAAGAGAAAGATTTCAATAGAAAAGAGATTTTTGATAAACAAGTTAATATGCTTATAAATAAGTGAAGTCTCTATAAAATTAATTATAAAAAAAAGATGTAGGAGGGTTGTGAAATTTTATTCGGTAAACAACCCATAGAACTACAAGAAATTAATATTTTTATGAGTGTACATGTTTGAGTAGATTAGAAAAGATTAATATGGTCCACATAGATATAGTGCATTGATGTATATAGGCATGTGTTTGTTTTAATTGAAAATATTTCATAGGACTAGAGAAGATTGAGAGAACTTATGGGTATTGATTATTGAGTGTTGATTTATTATATGAATTATATGTTTGTAATTTTTTATAACTGGTAGTTTTTTTTTTTCATCGATAAACTAGGTCAATTGAATCAAATCACATTATATTGATATCTTTTATATGATTAATTAATTATTTAATTTTGTTTCGCTTGTTTGAATGGTTAATTAATGAATTTTTTTTATCTAACAAATTATATCAGCAGGATTCTTACATTACTTGCATTATAATTTACTGTCATTATTTAGACTAATAGTAGTAAAATAGAAGATGCTATGCTGTTTGGGTTCTACAACAACTAACTCAAAACAACATAATCGTAGATTTAACACATATATCTATGGATTATTATAACTCCAAAAGCAATTTTAAATACTTACCATATGTCTATTAGTAAATAAGGAAATGACCGTTGAACTATAAAATTGACATGGGACGGACATTCAAAGCCACTTGTGGAGTTCTGCGTATAAACCAACCGCCTATATCTCGGAATCGGATTACCATTGATTGAGAAACCACAAGAAATACGATAAATAATATATAACAATATTTTAAGTCCTTGCATGCTATATAAAAATCCTTCAAATAATAATGAATAAACAATTTCAAATTCTTCAGACTACAGATCTAATCTGATAACTTTGTTTTATATATTCATAACAAAATGAAACGCTTATTAAGTGAAAATGAAACGAATATCTGATAGTAGAGCAGAATGGACGTACGAGTCATACTTTTGATGAGCTTTTTGAAGATGCAGCCAAACGATGCAAACCACAGAAGCGGTTTTCTTGAGGAAAGCCCAGGCCTTGGTGGTCGAGATTCTTGAAGGGTTTTCTTGAAGACCGACTTTCTGAGCGGGCGAGAGAAAAGGAAAGCAAAGATGAGTAAAAATAAAACGATTTATGGTGGCAAGTGGAAGAGGCAGAGAAAAAAGAGGAGTGATTGTCTGCCAACTGAGGGTGTAATAACAAAAAATATAAATAAAAGAAATTGGCTAAAATAAAATATAATAATACTCATGCACTTGAATTTAATTTTTAAAGATATTCTACTTAAACTTAAAATCTCTCTTTAAAATGAAATAAATTTAATTTAAGTGATCAATCGTATATAAATAAAAAAAAATTAATAATCACTTTATATTTTGTGATCAAGTTCATGTCCTACTACAATATGACAAATAGTGTAACAGTAGTTGCAAATTTAATTTTGCTGGCATGAAGACAATTTGTTTCTATTGTATTAACAAGGGAGTTTGGTGAATGAAAATGAGGAGCACAGTAACATTTTCATATTTTTGTGGAGGCAATCCTTATGTGTTCTTATAGTTCACCGATGTAACACACAAAGAGGAAGTGTTTGATCAAATCATATATATACCTGATTAATTAACAGTGTTGGATTAGTTGTTTTTCCTTCTTCATTTATCCTTTTGGAGAGATTAGTCATGTCAGTGAGTCGGGTGAAATCATTTTTACAAATCAGTAGCATATTTGAGCAGAGATGAGAACATGCTATATAGACTATATAGACATGGTTTTTTCCCTTTTTTTTTTTCCATTTTCTTTTGCATGGGGGCAATGAGTTTGTGTTGTGTTGCTTAGGGATGACTTGGTGCTTAAGTCTCAACCCTCTTGGATAGTGCTAATGATAATCACGTTTTAATCATGTTCGAATGGACCAGAGATGCTTCAATTTTGTGGGTTGTGGCGGACTTTTTTTATCCAAAGTTCCGAAATCCACAAAACAAGGCAAGAGTTTTCCAATCAATAGTTCTTTACTCTTTTAGGCCGTGTGGCTCCCATCCCATCGTTCCCGCAAGCAGCAATAATGCTGTTGTAGATATACTTTAGCTTCTTTTTTATTAGAAAAAAAGAAAAAAAGACAATCACCTCTTTGAGCTGGCTTTGGATCCGTCCATGCATGCCATTGCAAAAAGCAACCAACCACGCATGTCTAGCTATTCTCAAATAATTATGCAGATATTATATTTAATGCATTATTAAAATATTTTTTTATGAGAATTAAAATAAATAAATTATTCAATCTCTTAAATTATAATACAATAATTTATAATAAATAAATTATTCAATCTTTCAAATCAAAATAAAATATATCATATTTAATAATTTAAAATAAATAATTACAAATCGTATAATTGAGATAAACCTAATAAATTATCACTAACAAAATTGTACCTAAAATTTTTTCGTCAATAAAAATAAACTTAATCGATGAACCAATCACTTATTGATATGCATTATTAAAATATAAATTTTATATATTATTATCAATAAATTAAATAATATTATTTATTTATAAATAATATTAATTATTAAAATAAATATAAAAAAATTATTTTTAAAATATTTATTTCATTAATTAAATAATATCATTTAATTTACTTTATTAATAAAATAATATTATTTAATTTATTAATAACACATAAAATTTATATACTAATAATACATTAAATATAAATTCTATTATATTACCCTTCATTCCAAAAGAAAAGGACACCAGCCCATCGGTTCAGAAGAGGTATCCTAATCTAAATGCACTTAAAGTAGCTTAAACCAATCAATTTTTCCGTCGAAACGTGAAGAATCATGTTCCTTGGCTTCGCTCAACCGTGGTGCCTGCTGGGCAGCAATAATTAGAATGGCCCCCCTTCACACTTATTATCTATAAATGCATTCATTAATTAGACGTTACACGTGATTAGTGCTACTAACAACCAGTAAATTGCTTTTCTTTTTTTTACATAAAATGGGCACAGCCATGGGAATGGAAAGAAGAGAATGTCTTGATTTAAAACCAAGATTTTTATATTTTAAAAGAGCTTTTTAACCATTAAAGTAAAGAACTTAGAATAGTAAATTGCTTTTTCTTTTATTGTAAAAGTCATTATTGAATGATTATAGGAGAAAAAATTATAATGATTAAGATTTAAATTTAAAATTTTAAAAATAATTATATAAATTAATTGAATTAATTTTAAATTTTTTAATAAATTACTTTTGAAATGTGTTAAAAATCTAAAAATAAAGAAAAAAAAATAATAGTATCGTTAAATTTCAATAATAAAGAATTAACGATATATATAAATTTGAATATTTGGTTTAATGTTGTGTATATCTTTTTATTTAAAAAATATGTTCGATTTTCTTAAACAAATAAAAAACCAAGATAAAACATAATGTTTTCAATTTTTACATTTGGATTTTTATATTTTTAGATTGTTTAGCATTTTTCATTGCATTTAATTATAATATTTTTTTTGTATTTTTTATCAAGATATGCTTTACCAAAGCATAATTCAATATTGTTTAAAAAGCATAAGTTCAAATTTGTTTAAATTTAGTAGTTTAAAAAGCATAATTCAATATTCTTTAAAATATTAGTAGGTTTTTTCAAGCAGCAAGTTTAAATTTGGATTTTATTTTCTTAAAAATTTTAGTTAGATCTTCAAATCCAATTAAAAAAAAGATTAAATTTTAAATAAAATCATCATCAAAGTCAATAAATACTGCCAGCTAAGATAAATTTCCGTTTTTAAAGATAAACAAAAGAATCACAGATCATCCGGTAAAACTCAAAACACGGGTCACGTGACGTGTTAACTAACTCACCGGGTCAACTCGCTCGTAGACCGATACGGCAACGGATTAATTGAGGAACGTAAACGAAAGCACGCTGAGACAAAAAGTATCCGAGAGGCGCGAGGAGAAACAAACTTCGCATTTTCGCATTAAATCCATTTAAAAACATAACGAAAAAAAAAAAAGAATAGAATTTATAAAAAGCGGAGAAAGATAAAATATAAATGAAAAGGAGACAACGGCAACAACGGCGAAAAATACAAAACCAGAGATAACAGCGACGCCACGAAGCGGCTTCTTAATATCGAAATGAGAATCCAAAACTCTAAGTATTTTGTTTTTGTCATTTTTGTGAGTTTTTCGGTGACGAAATCCGATTACGAAATTTGATTTGATCGGCTTCTAATTCAGAATTTTGGTGGTTGCAAATGGAGTCGCTGATCGAACTCTGCGACATTATAACAAAAAATCCGGCGCAATTTGGTGATAAACTCGCCTGGATTTGCGGTAGGTGTCCGCAGCAGGAGTCGCTTCTGGGCGGATCGCCTAGGATTTCAAGGTCACAACTCAATGCGGTGCTCGCCGTTGCTCGATTTGTCTCTAAATGCCCCCATTCCACTGATAACCGCCCCAAATCGCTGATACTAGAGTTTATTCGGGCCATTCCGGCGTCGTTTCGTCGTTCCTTTTGGCCGCAGTCGTACAACTCCGATTCAATTGCTTCATTCTTCGTTGATTTCTTGAAATACGTGTCTGAATCCGCTGATTCGTGTCCTGATTTCGCTTCCGAGATCGCCGAGTTGGCCGGGGAGGTTGTTACGACCTCGATTAATAGCCACAATACCAACAGCAACGATTCGGCAATTTCTAGGGCTTTCTTGTTTGCTTTGTCGCAGAATTTCCCGCCAGTTTTGCCGTCCGATGCAGAAAAATTGATAAATTACCTTTTCGATCAGTTAGCTATTTCAGTTCCGGCATCACCGAGGGAGCTAATTCGAGGAAACTCGGAGACATCGTCTTCTCGAAGTTCACCTTTGAGCGTCAACCATTTTCATGGCAATGAGGTTTCGAGCCCAGCGAATGATTCTTTAAGAGGGTCATTGATGGCAAACGGAGGTGGTGCGTATTGGAAGAGTGGTGCTGATAAGGTAGGGAACACGAATTTGATCAGCGATGGAGGTGGGGCTATTTTTAGGCAACAAGTTGCGTCGTTCGAGGACGAGTCTGTGGAGAGCTTGGAGAAGCAAGAAGTTGCTTTTAAATTGATGGCTCATATTTTGGACAAAGTAAGCATTGATCAAAAGCTTTTGGAGCAAGTGAGATTTATTGCGAAGAAGCAGCTTCAATCTATGTCTGCATTTCTAAAGGTAAATGCCAACGGATATCTTGTGCTATTTTATTTATTTTTGTTAAATTCAGGCAACTAAGTCGTGCATTTTATAGTAAAAGATATAGTAAATGAACTTTATTGTAGAAACGGGTTAAAAAAATAGATGGGAGGTAACTTGTACACATTTTGTAGAATAAGTTAGCTTTTGAAATTTATAGAAGCAATGGGTTAATAAAAAATGAGATGGTCATAATTTTTTATTTGGCATGCAGATAAGGAAGCGTGATTGGACTGAACAAGGGCCCCTTTTAAAATCCAGAATTAATGCTAAACTATTAGTTTATCAAGCTACTGCCAGGATGCAAATTAAAAGTCTTTTATCTCTTGAAGCGGATGCTAAGACCTCAAAGAAATTGGTGCTTGAGAGTCTTGCATTGTTGATAGATGCTGCTGAAGCTTGTCTGCTCTCTGTATGGCGAAAGTTGAGATCTTGCGAGGAGCTTTTCAGTTCCTTGCTTTCTGGGATTGCACAAGTTGCAGTTCCTAGGGGAGGGCAGCCATTGCGTGTTTTGCTCATTCGTCTCAAACCCCTTGTGCTGGCTGCATGCATGCAGGTATGTATTATATAGTTGGGTTTGAGATTTTGGATCTAAAAAATGGTCTTACAGTTTTTTTTTTATAATTTTCTTTACAATGTGATTCGACCAGGCCGATACTTGGGGCAGCAGCCAAGGAGCCATGTTTGACATTGTTCTTAAGACATGTTGTGAGATTATTGAATCTGGCTGGATGAAAGACCGTGCCCCAATAGATACATTTATCATGGGATTAGCTACAAGTATTCGTGAGAGAAACGATTATGAGGAGCAGGTATTAAGTCATACACCAAAGATCATGTGCCTGTGGGCATAATGCACCGAACACCTATAGATGCAGCATGTATATAAACATACCTTCTCTGGTTGTGTGTTTATACAATCTATGTTCTCAATTTAGTTTCAAGTTTTAAAAAAAAAAATTTCTTTTCCTTTCATTACCTGTAGCCAGAGTATTATGCATTTGCATGTGTAGAGATTGCCTTTTTTTTTTATTTATTTATTATGGATTAGTAAATATGTGTTATCTGTTGCCCATCAGATCTTAGTCGGCTATTTACCTGTTGGGTGGTAGGTATGTTGCCTTTATTTATGCTTATACTTATTGCCAGTAACCCCATTTAGTTTTGCTTTTTGCGCAATGCTTACATAATCATGCAAATTTCAGGTTGATAAAGAGAAACAAGCAGTTCCAGCTGTACAGCTTAATGTGATACGTTTGTTGGCTGATTTAAATGTGGCTATCAGCAAGCCTGAAGTGGTGGACATGATACTTCCGCTTTTCATTGAAAGCTTAGAAGAGGGTGATGCTATAACTCCTAGTTTACTACGACTTCGAGTATGTATTTTCTAATTATAAATTTTTAAACTTCTTCTTTTTCCACTATTTACATACGCAAGTAACTGAAAGTGTTGACTGACACTCTTGCTTTAGATTTTTTGGCTTGGTTTCTCAACTTTGATCTGTACTCTCAATTTACTGCAGCTTCTTGATGCTGTATCTCGCATGGCAAGTTTAGGTTTTGAGAAGTCATATCGGGAGACAGTTGTTCTGATGACGAGAAGCTACTTGATTAAACTATCAAGTGTAGGGTCTGCTGAAAGCAAAACCCTGGCACCAGAGGCCACTACAGAACGTGTAGAGGTGCGCATTATTTTGAGATAGAAGTTACTATTTAGTTGCCTAGGAGATTTTCTTATTGATTGGATGCTCACTGGTTCAATCACATTCTAGACTCTTCCTGCAGGGTTTCTTTTGATTGCCACTGGTCTTAAGAGTTCAAAATTGCGCTCAGACTATCGTCATCGGCTGTTATCCTTGTGCTCTGATATAGGCTTGGCTGCTGAGTCAAAAAGTGGAAGGTAGATATTTGCTGATTAGCAATATATTTGTCTTTTCCTTATTTAATTTATGTCAATCCATGTATTCTGCTGTTTCTGTGTCGTATGGCACGCTTTCTACAAGCTTTTTTTGTTATCCTCTTTGTAATACATGTTTCAGATATTTTATGCCTGGTATTTCAAAATTTGCAGGAGTGGAGCTGATTTTCTAGGGCCCCTACTTCCTGCTGTTGCTGAAATATGTTCTGATTTTGATCCTACAGTTGATGTGGAACCTTCACTGCTGAAGTTATTCCGCAACTTGTGGTTCTATGTTGCTCTTTTTGGACTGGCACCTCCCATACAGAAGACTCAAACACCTACAAAATCAGTTTCAACTACAATAAACAGTGTGGGAAGCATGGGTACTATTGCCCTTCAAGCAGTGGGTGGACCATATATGTGGAATGCACTTTGGTCTTCTGCTGTCCAGCGTATTGCTCAAGGGACTCCTCCCCTTGTAAGTGAATCTTCAAGAATTCTTCCATGAGCACCTATAGTATTTCATTTGACAAACCAGTAGCTTTTTCCAGTTTGTCTACTATTGTGCTAATTACTTTTATCAGACTGATTTATATTTAATTGTTGCATTGGACGGTATTTTCATGTGCTTATGTTTTTCTATATTTGATTCTATGCAAATAAATCTGACATTAAGACATTAATTAAGTTTCAGTTGTCTAGTGGAAATGGTCTTAATCAGGTGGGTCCACAATCAGTAGTTGGGATGGCTATGAAATATGTTGAATGTTGGAAGCTTTATACATTTAATTTTTTCATGCTGGGCTGACTAGGGAGTGCAATGTCTCTCCCAGGGTTTTGCAATTTTATTCAGTTACATTCATATAAGTTTATTCTTCTACTTTTATGGAGTATGGTTGCCCCTTTTAATTTTTCTTTGGATTGTGCTTGCATCAACTCAGTTTGAGTTGGTTATGATTCTGAACAGAGAACTGCGTAGCCTTTTCCCCACTATATTAGACCAAAGACTTGGTGTTTTTGTAAATGATGGCTGTGAGGCTTTTCTAAACTAAATTGCCATGTGAATTCACATTGTGTTTCTTTGCAGGTTGTCAGCTCTGTGAAATGGCTTGAAGATGAGTTGGAACTGAATGCCCTTCACAATCCTGGCAGTCGTCGTGGGAATGGCAATGAGAAAGCTGCTGTAAGCCAAAGGACAGCTCTTTCTGCTGCTTTAGGTGGGCGAGTTGATGTTGGAGCAATGAGCACAATATCAGGTCTAGTAAACTTCTTGCACTTTATGCCGGATAGAACCCTATTCTCCATGTTCACTAATTTCTTGTGTGATAATAACTTTTTATTTGGCCTTTATTTGGTGGAACTCTCCATCCATTGTGGTCTACATCGATCTCTTTTTTTTTTTTTTTTGGGGGGGGGGGGTGTTTTTCTAGTAGGCTCATTTGAGTGATGCCTTTTTGCTTTTCTTTTTTATTATTTTAAAGGTGTAAAAGCAACCTATCTTCTTGCTGTGGCTTTCCTGGAGATAATACGTTTCAGCAGTAATGGTGGCATCCTTAATGGTGGCACTAGTTTGACCGCTTCTAGAAGTGCCTTCAGTTGTGTCTTTGAATACTTGAAGACTCCAAATCTTATGCCAGCTGTCTTCCAATGTTTGACAGCAATTGTGCACAGGGCATTTGAAACAGAAGTGTTATGGCTGGTATGTCTTCAATTTACTTGAAACAGGAGCATTATTCTTTTCTTTTTCTTTTTGTTCTCATTTTGAATACAATATTCATATAAGGGGATTTTATAAGTGCATGCATCCTTGCATATTTGTTGTTGTTAAAATTATAATTAATTAATAATTGTATAATGAACTGGCTTCTACTTTAGTGAGTACAGATTGCTTAACAACTTGGTGGCTAATCTTGTGACTATCTTGTTCTCCAATTATTCACTTACACTTCTTTCCCCCTGGCTCGCTTACACTCCAATTTTTCAGTTAGAAGTATGACAAAGAAGTGTTAGCAAAGAGTTTGACCCAAAAGCTTAAGAAAATCAGTTCTGCTTCTATCATATACAAGTCCCTTGTTTCTTTTACACTTTTTCCAGATCATAATTTCCAAAAAGCCTTAAATGAATTCAATAATCACTTGGAATGTATATATTTTTTAAAAGGGCCCAAATATATGCACACTGGAATGTACATGATTTGATTTTAGGAAAAATATATTGAAAGGACCAGTATGTGCCACTAGATTTGGTTTTCTACTATTATTTTTCTTTTTTTATATACTTATGTTGTTTGTTTCATTTTACTGGTATTCTCCCTTTTTCTTAAAATGCGAAAGATGAGAGGATTTCTTTTTTTCTTTTCTTGGGCACTTTAAAATTTTCCTGTGCTCCTAAAATAGATTGTTGAAAAGTGAAGAATATATGTTGTCCCTTGAGACTTGCTTGTCCTTTTATAGTGCTGTCTTTCAAACTTTTCGCCTTTGGATGTGCTTAGCTTTATCTTACTATCTTATCCATAAGCACTCCCTAACTTTTCTTTCTCTTGTAATTTTAAAACGAATGCAACATTCATAAGAAAGTATGGTAATTTTTTGTGTCGTTGAGTTACTTATAATACTTTCTTCCAATTAAGTGACATTCCCTTGGATGACCTTCCCAAACAGTACAAGTTCATCATCCCTTATGCTACCAGTATAATACTGGTTGCTTGTCCTGCTCTCTTATCTCTTCTTTTTCTCTGTGTATATTTGTGCATGTGCACATGATCCTGCTATATGAACCTCATGAATTTCTTGATGTGTTCAGGAAGACCGAATAACTGAAACAGGCAATGAAGCTGTGATTAGAGAATCAACCGTTTTTGCACATGCTTGTTTTCTAATAAATAGTATGTCACAGAGGGAAGAGCACATTCGGGATATTGCTGTGAACCTATTGATTCAGCTAAGAGATAGATTTCCTCAGGTAAATTTATATTGGTGATGTCCTTTTCATCTAATGGTTATTCTTTATTTTATTTTCCCAGTTGTTCTCCTTAATTTGAATAGCATATTTGAGACAAATGGAACTAAATATGTGCAGGTTTTGTGGAATTCATCTTGTCTTGATTCACTGCTCTTTTCTGTTCAAAATGACACTCCTACTGTTGTCAATGATCCTGCTTGGGAAGCAGCTGTTCACGCTTTATACCAAAAAACTGTTCGGGAATGGATTGTCATATCACTTTCACATGCTCCATGTACTACCCAGGGTCTTCTCCAGGTTGCTGACTACATGACTCTATATGTTATTTACTCTTTTGCTTATTATTCTCCCTCCTCCTTGAATATGTGAATCCTGCATGGTTAATGTATGTTATTTTCATTGTGCATTGAGTTTTGAACATTCTCTGGCATTTACTACTACGATGCCTTATTTGGGCCCTTTTCTCTTCAATGAAAATTGGACTTATCTTCAATTTTGTATACACATATATATACATATATGTATATATATGTGTGTATATATATATATATGTATACATACATATATATGTATACATATATATATGCATATATATATATATATATATATATATCGAAACACCTACTGGGTGGTTGGGCTTAACAAATTTCAGTTATGATCTTTTTGGTGGTTTTTTTAATTGTTTAAACGTAAAGGCTGTTCTTTTGGTTTCCTTTGTATCAAAGCCATTCTTAAAATGATTTAGATTTGTTCCTTTTTTTTTTTTGGATCTTTTAATTACCTTGTTGTGGTTCCAAATATATACCACAGGAGAAGCTTTGCAAAGCAAACACATGGCAGAAGGCACAGCATACAACTGATGTGGTGTCTCTATTATCTGAGATAAGGATTGGAACAGGAAGAAATGATTGTTGGGCTGGAATAAGGACTGCAAATATTCCTGCAGTCATGGCTGCAGCAGCTGCTGCATCAGGAGCAAATTTAAAGTTGTCAGAATCCTTCATCTTAGAGGTCCTCAGTACTGGTATAGTCAGTGCAACAGTTAAATGCAACTATGCAGGAGAAATTGCTGGCATGAGAAGGTTGTATAATAGCATTGGTGGATTTCAATCTGGTGCCCCACAAACAGGTTTTGGTAGTGGCCTCCAAAGGTTGATCTCTGGAGCATTCTCTCAACTGCCACAAACTGAGGATGATTCATTTAATGAGATGTTACTTTCAAAGTTCGTGCGTCTCCTTCAACAATTTGTTAATACTGCTGAGAAAGGTGGAGAAGTGGATAAGTCACAGTTCCGTGAAATTTGTTCTCAGGCAACTGCATTGCTTCTGTCAAATCTGGTAGAACTATCACTATTTCATATATATGTATGTGTGTGTGTGTGTGTGTGTGTATATATATATTCATTCTTATTGCTTAAAAGTATTTTGGATGACATTCCACTCTTATCCTCTGAAAATGGTTCATTTCTTTGCCAGGGTTCTGCTACAAAAGCTAATTTGGAGGGCTTCTCACAACTTCTGCGTCTTCTCTGCTGGTGTCCAGCTTATGTTTCGACCCCTGATGCTATGGAGATTGGTGTTTTCATCTGGACTTGGCTGGTTTCTGCTGCTCCGCAGTTGGGGTCTCTTGTCCTTGCGGAACTTGTCGATGCATGGTTATGGACAATTGATACAAAACGAGGTCTCTTCGCATCTGATGTGAAATACTCTGGACCTGCTGCAAAATTAAGGCCCCACTTGGCCCCTGGGGAACCAGAGGTGCTACCCAATATCAATCCTGTTGAGCAAATAATTGCTCATAGATTGTGGCTGGGTTTTTTTATTGACCGTTTTGAGGTAACAGATAATTTGTATTCTCTATCTCACACAAGTGTTTTCCATGATGTTTGTGCTTATTGTTTATCACTGAACTGCATTCAAATGTAAATGGAGTAATTTTTGTGTGTTTGCCTGTATATACTTGTGTATGTCTGTTTCTTTTCACCTCAAATGTTTGTGCATTTGGTATTTGTTATCTTGTTTTCTGACTAAGCCAACTTGTTATTCTACTCCTTTTTCTGTAGACAAACTCTTTATCTTGTTTGGGTTGTATAGGTAGTGCGTCACAATAGTGTTGAGCAACTTTTGCTCCTTGGTCGAATGTTGCAAGGAACGACCAAACTTCCTTGGAAATTTTCACATCATCCGGCAGCCGCTGGCACCTTCTTCACCTTCATGCTTCTTGGTCTTAAGTTATGCTCGTGTCAATACCAAGGGAATTTGCAGAATTTTAGAACTGGGCTTCAGCTGTTGGAAGATAGAATATACCGGTAACTGCAATTGACTCTCTTTCTTTTACTTTAAATCTACACCTTTTTAGTTCTGTTTTTTTCTTTTTGGACAAGTCATTCACTTTTATTTCCTAGTTTCCGTGACTCTCTTTCACTTTCATTCTACACCTTTTTAGTTCTTTTTTCTTTGAATTTTCTTTTTGGACAAGTCAATTACTTTTGTTTACTGGTTTCCTACAATCAGTGCAATCTTGTTCTGCGGATTATTCTAAAAATTGTTTTTCCCCCTGTAGTAAAGAACTTATTGCTTTGAGGATATTGCTATGCATATATCATTTACCCTTGTCTTATTCAAAAAATGTTCAAAAAATGTGTGCTATTGAACTTGTTATATGGACTCAAAGGATGATTACTATATATGGACTATGGAAGTTTTGATTGACCAAAAGGTGGATTTAAGTTTTGTGTATTAAAAGGCAACTGTTATGATTTTTCAGATTGGGATATTGCTATGCATTTGACAATTATTGAGACCTCATATTCTCCATTTTATTTAGCTTTCATCATTAAGAGATTTTTGTGCCAAATGACAGAGTTTAAATGCGTGGTCCATGTTTACATACATATTGCCATCAGACCAAGACATTTATATTAATTTACATAGCTTCAGTGTCTGACCATTTAGACATGCTTACGAGTTTTATTTGTGAGACAAACATTGCCAATGATGCAGTCATGATATTTGGAAAGAAATACAATTGAAGATGGAGTTTGGATTCTAAATATCTTGAGTTTCTTTCATCTCCAAACCCATCAAAGACTTTGGGCTTTTGGTATTAAGGGGTGCGATTAGTTTGATTAAGCTAAGGAGGATTCAACAACAAAGGCTTGGCCTAGTGGTTGTAATCCCTTCTTAGGAGAGGTAAGGTCTTTAAGGTTCCCCCCTTTCCCCCTTAGGCTTTCTCATATATACCAAAAAAAAATTAACCTGGCTTCAAACACACACACACATATATTGTTTTTCTTTTTTTTGTTTGGCCTTGCCACAGCAACTGGCTTTCTGTGTATGTGTGTTCCATTATTCAATTCTAGCTTACATGGCATACCTTTGCAATTGTACTTAAAGTTGTTTTTGGTGCATGCAGGGCTTCTTTGGGCTGGTTTGCCTATGAGCCCGAGTGGTACGACATGAACAATATGAATTTTGCTCAGAGTGAGGCTCAATCTGTCTCTGTCTTTGTTCACTATCTTTCAAATGAGAGGGTAGATTCTCTGCAATCTGATTCCAAGGGCCATGCACGTGAGAATGGGAACTCTTTGGTTGATGTGGTAAGATGGTCATCGTTCAGCCACCGTGGTTTTCAAGTGTTTCAACCTTGATTAAGGCATTCTGTATATGGATTGTATATATTTCTGTTCTCATATGAATTTCATGAGCTGTTTGTGCTGGTTATTCCTAACGTTAGTTAAACATTTGCAGAATAATCAATATCACCCTGTCTGGGGCCAAATGGACAACTATGCTGTGGGAAGAGAAAAACGAAAGCAGCTGCTTCTAATGCTGTGCCAGCATGAAGCTGATAGGCTTGAAGTTTGGGCACAACCTCTTTCAAAGTATTTTCACTTTTCAGCAGAATATATTTGTTGTTATTTTGGTCTTACTATATTTTTTAGTTCCTTTTGTTGCATTAATGTCTTCATGATTGTAGTAAATTATTGTTGTTTGGATTTATATTTATATTCAGGGAAGGAATATCTTCTCGGCCCAAAATCAGCACAGACAAATGGATTGAATATGCAAGGACTGCTTTCTCAGTGGATCCACGTATTGCTTTTTCCTTGGCCTCAAGGTTTCCAACAAACACTTATCTGAACGCTGAAATAACTCAGCTGGTCCAGGTATGCTTTGCTTACAAAGAAAAAATTAATCTTCTAAATTAGTGTGGCTATTATTTATTTAGGTGGTAAGGAGATGGTTGTCATTCAGTTAGTACATTGTCAGTATTATTATTATGCTAAGCATTCCAGAAATACTCATTGATTTATTCTTTCCGCTCTTATGCTTCAATATTATAATTTTTATCATGCCATGATGGCATGATTTTAGTTGAGTTGCTTCCTGATTTACTGGCATTTCTCTTGCAGTCGCATATATTGGACATCCGCTGTATACCCGAGGCATTGCCTTATTTTGTCAACCCAAAGGCAGTTGATGAAAATTCAGCACTTTTGCAACAACTGCCTCACTGGGCTGCTTGTTCAATTACACAAGCTCTCAAATTCCTTACTCCTGCATATAAGGGTCATCCTCGTGTCATGGCTTATGTTCTAAGGGTTTTGGAGTCCTATCCTCCTGAATGTGTAACCTTCTTCATGCCACAACTTGTGCAAGCTCTGCGATATGATGAAGGGGTGAGTGATCAATGAAGATATGGGCATTTATTTTCTTTATATTTTGTCTTTTGTTTTTGAGGTGCAATACTAGGAAATTAACCTGACAACAGGATAGCTCATAGATGTATTTGCTTGGTGGTTATATTTAGGCTAGGTTGAGATATTGCAGTCCTTATCTCAAATTTTTGATGCAAGGTGCTGGGCAAATCTAACTGATTTAGCATGATATATCCTTTGTACTTGGTGATCAATCAACATTGCCTTTATGATCGCAAATAACCATAGTGTGCATACAGCAGCACTGTGTTTATCAAAACTTTTGCATTTGGTACGAATCTGATTTTGTTCCTCCAACCAAAACACCACCAAAATGACCTTAATCTGATTAGCACTGTGTAATTTTGATATATGTTTTAAGATTATCAGAAACTTGAGGTAATTGGATACATCAAGTGCTTGATCATTGGGGTTGAAGTTTGGGTTTATCCTGCTTGTCCCTAATTGCCAGCATTGCAGACCCCCAAATTATCTTGTTGCTTACACCATCTCATACTGTTTTTCACATTTAAATTTTGCATTAATGGTTCTTTATTTTGCAGAGGTTGGTAGAAGGGTATTTGCTTAGAGCAACTCAAAGAAGTGACATATTCGCACATATTCTAATATGGCATCTGCAGGTGTGAAAAGTTATAGTTTTCCTCAATTAGATAGTATGCTTTTTCACTGATTTAGTGAGGAAAATATATGACCATCTTCACTTTACATTACATCACATTTTGATTTTATGCAAGTACTGAGTCCTGACTTTGTATTGGCAGGGTGAGACATGTGAACCGGGGAAAGATGCAAGTGGAAAGGTTTGTTCATCTCATTGTTCTCTTTTTCTTGAAAGCTTGTTAGAACTTGCCTTAATGATCAAAAAGCAGTACTATACATTGGCTTGTAAAAGTGACTGGGTTGTGGGCTAGAGGACTGACTGTGGGTTTGTTGGGGTTGAATGTCGACACAATTTGATGTCATTCACATCCTGTTCTATATAATTTTTGAAGAAAATAAGAATTAAAAATTTAGAGAAAAGTATGATAAGGAAGTAATTAAAACAATTCTTTGTATACATACAGGAAATTAACTATAAAAAAGGCCTTTGTTGCATTGAGGAGAAAAAATTTGCTAATTTGTTGATTACACGTATATACAGAATGGTGCAATTGCAATCTAGCTTTAGACCAAAAAGAAAAATGGTAATCCTTCAGAAAAAAATAATTTCAGTGGCTCTCTTTTATCTAGTACTATTGCCTACTGTTGTTGAAAGGTTAATTGATTAACTCAAATTAGCATCAGTTCTCTGGTAATCTCCAATTTCCAATTAAGGCCTTGTTTGATTGTTGCTTTTGCTTTTTCTTTTTGGTTAAAAATTAAAAAATGATTCAATTGAGACAAATTTTATGTAACTTTTCTATTAATAAGTAAATCATTTATTTTGTTCTAAAATTAGTTACATTTTTCATTTTTAATTATTCAATTTTATTTGCTTTTGTACCCAAAAGTGTTTTACTTTTAAGCTTCCAGAAGCTAAAAAAAAAAAAAAGAAATAGTAAAAGCAACAACTAAAAATATACCTAAGTGAAGAATTGGTTGTTTCACACCTGAGCATTTGGTTCAGTGGTTAGTGCATGAGTAGATTTCAAAACCCCCCTTCCCCAAATCAAAAAAAAAAAAAAAAAAAGATCTGATTGCTTCATGAAAATCATTTAGTTAGAACTCATTTTTTATTAATCACGGTCAGTGAGAAGCCTATAATCGGGTTGGATTGGAAGTTGATAAAGGTCCAATAAGACTTAAGGGTGAAGCATGGGTGAGCATTGCTTGATCATGTTAAGAGAATACCTTGCTATCCAGTGACTTATCTCTGATGGGGAAATGTTCTGATGGCATTGAGTTTTATGTTGAATGTTTGGTTAACATGATGTTTCTGATACCATTAATTTGTTGGAAAACTTTTAAAGTTGTGAACTATTTTGCTATGGTCTTCCATTCTCTGATAATTGACTTGTGTACATTCTCTCATTCCAGAATAGTTCATTTCAAGCACTGTTACCAATTGTTCGAAAACATATTATCGATGGTTTTACACCGAAGGCCCTTGACTTGTTCCAAAGAGAATTTGATTTCTTTGACAAAGTTACATCCATTTCTGGTGTCCTATTTCCTCTTCCAAAGGAGGAACGCCGGGCTGGCATCCGGAGGTATATCACTATTTCTTAATGGTTATGCTTGTGCATGTCTGATTTCTATCTTGCAGTTAAATTTGGTGGACATGCTTGCTATTATTATAGGGAGTTAGAGAAAATTCAAATGGAGGGAGAGGACCTTTATTTGCCAACCGCTCCTAATAAGCTTGTTAGGGGTATTCGAGTTGATAGTGGAATACCCCTGCAATCGGCGGCAAAAGTTCCTATTATGATCACATTTAATGTCGTTGATCGGGACGGTGACCAGAATGACATAAAGCCCCAGGCTTGCATTTTCAAGGTAAACTTGTGTTTGAGTCGGACCAAAAAACTATGATTTGAATTGCCTACAAAAAATTCTATCTTTTACCAATAATTTTTGGAAAAACCAGAAACCCCCGTGAGTTGTTTGTCCACCCTTACCTGTGAGACTGCTCTCAGACTAATTGTAGGGCACTCTTCTGCTCTTTGTTTCTCCCACACTAGAAAAGGGATACACGAGAGCATCCTACAGCTCTGAAAGGGGGCTTCCTTGGCTTCTGGACGTTATGTGAGTTTTGGATTTAGAAATTGTTTTGATTCTGCTGGAAGACACAAAGCCCAACTCTCTTTTTCTCATTAAGATTGTGGTTGCATTTATGCACTTTTTGACTTTCTAGTTATTGAATTTTCAGTTCGAAATGCATGGACCGAGCTTTCAAAATTTTACTTGTTTAACTATTATTTTTGCTGGTTGAAATGTATGGTCATGATTTCTTATATAAGGTTGTGTTATCATTTTTATATAATTTGACTTTTTATTCAAGGTTGGAGATGATTGTCGGCAAGATGTTCTTGCTCTTCAAGTGATAGCTCTTCTAAGAGACATATTTACAGCAGTTGGACTTAATCTCTATTTATTTCCTTATGGTGTTCTTCCAACTGGCCCAGAGAGAGGTATAATTGAGGTGTGTATATCTTCTATTCCGTTAAGCTTTGTGCTTATTTTGCTTCTAATTCCCCTTTTTTTTGGTTAAGTACATTATTACTGTAACACTAGCTAAGGAATTGCTTTCTCTTGTGTTTCTTTTGGAAATACCTTATCTATAACAGCTAAACAGAATGAGGAAAAAAGAACTTTGAGGGCATATAATGCTCCCACCATCAAGGAGTTTTAGGGTGTGGTCTTACTGTTGTCATTCTTGCACTTGTCTATCTTAAGACTTTTACCATCACAACAGAATGACTTTTTAAAAATGATGTGAAAAGTGAATTTAGGGAGGACCACTGCTGTTTTTACCCCCAATGATGTGCACTACAGAGACAAATACGACAATGTGGTTTGATTTACTAGTGTGAAGTCATTTGTGCATGTGTCATGTTGCTGGAAAAGAACTGGACAACTGTTACTAGGGTACTGTAATGAAGTCTTCACTTAATAAGCTCTCCTTTTTCTCCCTTGATGCAGGTTGTGCCTAATACACGAAGCAGAAGCCAGATGGGTGAAACGAATGATGGTGGTTTGTACGAGATCTTTCAACAGGATTATGGGCCTGTTGGCTCTCCTAGCTTTGAAGCTGCTCGCAGAAACTTTATAATTAGCAGTGCAGGCTATGCCGTAGCAAGCCTTTTACTTCAACCAAAGGATCGGCACAATGGCAACCTTCTTTTTGACGAGTATGGCTCTGCTAGTTCCTCGACTTTAGAAATTGCAACCTGTGGTTGGTAGAATATTTAAATTTAAATAATTCATACATGAAAACATGATAACCAGGTGACTGGTGGAACCTGGTTAGGTCCTCAGTCTGTGACAAATCATCATACTTCTGTTAAAAAAACTATGAACAACTATTGCACTAGTAGCAGGAACACATAAATCATATATAAATGAATTATAAACAAAAATATGAATCACACCTGGTGTTGTCAGTTGATTTCCTTTTAGAAAACCTAAAATCATGGATACCAAGAAGAAAGCACTTAGGAGTTAGGATTAGTTAAAAATAAAAAAACTATGAATAACTATTGCCCTAGTGATCAGAACACAATCATATACATGAATGAATTAAAAAAAAAAAATGAATAAAACCTGTTGTTCTCAGTTGATTTGCTCTTAGAAAACCTGAAATCATGGACGCCAAGAAGAAAAGACTTAGGATTTGTGAATGGGTCTCTCTCTCTGAAGCATTTAATTGGTCCTCAACACCAAAAACCATTATTTATATTAGGGTTTGCAGATGTAAGAGGGGCCTGGACCCATTTATAAATTATAACAAATCTATGCAGGTCAATTGACTAAGGTATACCCCAAAATAAGTGAGGTCCTGCACCCAAATAAACCATCACATTTCACTATTTGCAATACCAAAGATGAATTTTGGTCTAACCCCCCTCCTCAGTAGGAAATAAGAAAGAACAAAAAACTCAATCACTGTGACATGCATGTGAATGCAGTGCTGGGAGGCTTGTTCATATTGATTTTGGTTTCATCTTGGAAACATCACCTGGTGGGAATATGCGGTTTGAGAGTGCACATTTCAAGTTAAGTCATGAGATGACTCAATTACTAGACCCATCAGGGGTTATGAAAAGTGAAACTTGGGACAACTTTGTAAGGTAATTACTTCTGTACTTGATTTAATCCTTCTATCTATATCTGCATACCCCTTTATCCTCATCGAAGTCATTTGTGTTGTTCTTTGTCAATGTTCGCAGCTTGTGTGTTAAGGGATACCTCGCTGCCCGCCGTTATATGAATGGGATTATCAACACGGTGTTGCTAATGCTTGACAGTGGATTGCCTTGCTTTAGCAGGGGTGATCCCATTGGAAATCTTCGCAAGAGATTCCATCCCGAGATGAGTGAGCGTGAGGCTGCCAATTTCATGAGAAATGTCTGCATAGATGCCTACAATAAGTGGACGACTGCTGGCTATGACCTAATACAGTATTTGCAGCAAGGCATTGAGAAGTGAAGTTACTGGAAATCATCTTGGAATGTACATGAGTGTTTGTAATTTTATAATTATTTTTCCCCCTATAGTAAACAATTTTCTCGAGGAAATTCCACCAAAGCAATGCTAGGAAACATAAAAGAAGCGACACACAAACACCCGGTTGATGTTGAGGAGAAATTTTCTTAAGTCTAAACGGCAGCTTAGTTTTGTTTGTAACCTAGTGGCGGATATCCTTGTTAGGTTTGTAAAATTACAGCTTTCTAATTTCCATTTGTTAATGAAATTAATTCGCGTGAATATGCATGAGGAATAGCTGCTGTTCGGAAATAGCCATATTTGTACTGTCTACAAATATTGAATTCAAGGTTTATGCTTTTACTCTCACCAAGAAACCGTTCTATTATTGCAACTCTGGATCCTAAGCTGAGCTTCATCTCTGTTTTAATTGTGACAGACTCGGGTTCTTGATTGTTCGCCTTCTATTCTATATTGTGCTACTCTCATTCTTTAACAATTAACATGATAGGGAGAGTCAATAAAAAACCATGATTGGGAGTCATACGATTATAAGAAAATGTGGTAATGATTTTGGCATGATCCAAACTGAAAATGCTGAACTTAGAACAGGAAGATTATTATGAACCAAATCATAAAACACAACCAAGGGACAAATTGGACAATCATCCATATCGAATACAACCAACGAAGCAATTTGCAACCTCTACTTTTACCTCCACAATTACTGGAGCTTCTTCAAATTTTTCAATAATAATAATAATAACAATAAAAAAAATCAAGTTAGGCTGTATTCAACACTATATATAACAAACTAAATTAATTTAAGGAAAAAAAATAGAAGACAATTTTTTATCAATCATTAAAGTCATTAAAGACATCGTAAAATTTTTCTTTTTTCATTGCATAAAAGTTTATTTATTTAAAAAAATCAAAATTTAAAAATAAAAAAAATTATGTGTTGAAATTTAAACAGAAAATTTGTTCAATATCATTTTTATAGATAATTTTATGAACCATTTATATTTTAAAAGTTGATCATTCTCACCGTCTTACACTTTTAGCGTCACGAGTCATTCCCCAATTTTTCTTGCAAGACCAGGAAAAATAAAAATTTAACCTATTCTTTTAATTTCCTTGCATTGCATGGTAAATAATATATTTACTAAACTACCCTTGGTTATCTAACCTTGGCGTTGGCGGCAAGTGGAAGTAATACTATTTTTCCTAACGGAATCAGATTCCATTAACCTTAACTTTCTTCATCTTCTCCGCCTCCTTTCTCCAACCTACCAATTTACCAAAAAGCCATTCCATTTCTTCCAGCGTTTTCCCCCGCGTCTCCGGCAGAAACACGTAGAAAAACACCCATCCAGTCGCTGCGATCCCGGCGAATAAGAAAAAGGCCCCACCGATGGTGATCGCTTTGTACAACGAAATAAAAGTCATGGAGATGACCCCACTCGTCACCCTGTTCACCGCCACTCCCATACCCATCCCCTGCGCGCGTAGCTTCAACGGGAAGATCTCCGACGTGTAAACAATCGTTACGGGCCCCATCCCAATCGAGAAAAACGCCACGAAAGCCAAAACCATTGCAATGCACAAACCGACGGCCCACGCTAGTTTCACCTCCGAATGATCGATGATCGTTAAGGAAAACCCGAGTATAGCCAACGACGCCACCATGCCTCCCACGCTGCTCAGGAGCAAAACCCGCCGTCCGATTCTATCGAGTAAAAACGTGGCCACCAAGATGAAGATTGTCTTGGTAAACCCGACGGCTACTGTCGCGAGTAGCTTGTCGTTTGATGATGTGATCCCGGCTTTTTCGAAAATCCTTGGACTGTACAAAACAACAGCGTCTATTCCAGACGATTGCTGGAAGAAATGAACCCCGACGGCGCAAATCAAGACGTGCCTAACGGCGGATGTGGGGTGTAAAAGTAATTCTCTCCACACACCTTCTCCGTGGGTTTGCTTTTCCAACTGAAAGATGTCGTCGGTGCAATCTTGGGGTATTCCAGCTGCTTCTTTGATGTCACTGAGTCTAAGCTGAGCTTCCTCTTTGCTGTCAAGGGTTTTATCAAGCACTCTCCTGGCTTCACCGAGTCGACCTTGCATGACCAGCCAACGCGGCGACTCAGGCATTGCTAGAACCCCAACAGCCAAGAAAACGGATGGGATGGCTCCAACGCCAAGCATCAGCCGCCATCCTATGTTCGTTGGTAGCTTCGAAAATGCATAGTTCGAAACATACCCCAATAATATCCCAAGATTAATAGACACCTGCAAAAAATTTTTAAAAAATCTTATTAGCTTTATTTATTTTAATTAGAAAAGTAATTTTTTTTTTGGGGGGGGGGGTTAAATTACCTCGGGAAATGAGGTGAGAAAACCACGGGAGGAAGCAGGGGAGAGTTCAGCAGTGTAAAGAGGAGCAATCATGGCTGCAAAGCCGACGCCGACACCAGCGACGAAACGACTGAACATAAGGAAAGTGTAGTTGGTGGAGAAGCCCATTAGGAGAGATCCCACAAAGAAAATAGCATTGGCCAACACGATGGTGTAACGGCGGCCGATCCAGTCAGAGGTTCTACCGGCTACGCATAAACCAACTAGACAATACAAGTTGAGTATACCGACAAGGATTTCAACTTCAACGTCATTGATTTTGAGGTCCTTTTTTATGAAGATTATAGCTCCACTCATCACTCCTATGTCTATTTCATGCAACCAAAAAACAATATTTAGACCAAAAATGACTTAAAAAACACTAAAATGATCACTAAAAAGTTACCCAAACTTACCATAACCAAGTAAGATGGAAGTTAAGGAAGCAAGTATGGCGCAAGCAAAAGCAAACTTGTTCTTCTTAGCTTTCATTGTAAGCTCAAAACCTGCAAGAGTTTTGTTGTCGTTAACTACAACTGCAGGTTGACTTGAAACGGCACCGTTTTCTGCTCCCAAACGAGCCATCTTTGCTCCCTAGCTAGCTTGATTGAAAAGAGAGAGAGAGGAAGTGAGACTTGTTGTATGGTAGAAGTGTTACAGATTCAAGCTGCAGCCATGAATCTCTCAAGTTTGCTTCCAAATTGATTACTTGTACAACTACTACTATACTACAAAACAAAACAAAGGTCACGTCAACTATACCCTCCGAGAAGAGATCCATTATGCACCAGCCATGCGATGAAATCATGTACGAGCTGTCTTTGTTATGTGGCCCGTTGGGTACAGCTGTGTTTTCCCAAGATTATTGTGCTTGTGGAAAATGCATTTTTAACTCCTAATTATTTACTTAGAAAATAAATAGGAATGGGATAGATGAAAACCAAACAAAATAACTTCTGAAAAATGTAAAAATATCCCATATTAGCAGAAAGTATATAAATTTATTGCTCAGAACACAAATTCTACCATTATGTCCACTGTTAAAAAATTGTATGAACATTTTTTTTTTAACTTTTGGGATATGTTTGAGGATAGAACTCAAGATCTTATTTTGAAGTAAACTCCAAGGCCACTTATATAAAAACTCATTGGTTGTATGAAGAATGGATATCTATTGCATTTGAGACCAAAAGACAAAATATTTAATCATAGTATATGAATGAATTATAAGCAACATTTAACATGAATCGACCCTCCTGTTGTCAAATTCATTTGCCTTTCACCAAGAGAAAGTTTCAGGCAGAAATTACCCAGAATTTGGTGAAAATTGAGTGACCTCCTGTGTAAATTACCCAGAAAGCACTTAATGTATGTTCACCCGCCCTTCTTCAATGGACCTCAAAAACATACATGCGTGCCCTCAAGATTCCCGGGGATTACTGATCGTACGGGCCTTTCTCACACTCTATGAAGCTTTTTGATGGTCCACAATGGGCCGCGCCTAGAACTATCATCTTTTATTTATTTTATTCTAGGATTTTCATATGTTAAAAGATGATTTAGCCCAATTGTAAAAATTCTATTAAGGCACCCAAAATAAGGGACAGGTCGTGCCACCCAAATAAACCCATCATAGTTCACTATTCGCAATCTATGTCAAGATGAATCTTAAACCAAACACTGGATATTGATTTTGGTTTCATCTTGGGAAACATCTCCTGGTGGAAATATGGAGTTTGAGTTTTTGAGAGTGGACATTTCAAGTTGAACCCTTAGATGTGATTCAATTAATAGACCGGCACCGGGGTTTTGCTTTTGTCAACGTTTTATATATATATATATATATATATATATATATATATATATAAAATCTTACCTTTGTGAGTTACTAGCTTACTCCCGCCAACAAACTGTTGGATTTATTGCAACTCTTGACCCATGGGTTATCTGGATAGATTAATTGTTTCTCGATCTGGATTTTGATATTATAAATGATGGTATTGATTTACTTTCAGTATATCATTGTGTTAGTGTCATTGCTCTTTTAACCTGATAGTGAGAATGTTGAAGCCAATAAAGAGGTGGAAGGTCATTTTTCCAACCTCAAGACAGTTTAGAGAATGCAATTTGATGCATTTCATAATGCCACCCATCGTGGTCGAAATCATGATTTTTCCCAATTCAAAATGAAATTTGAAACATAACAAACAAAAGCCAAGTAAAAACCATAGCCATTAACATCGCCGGAAGATCCATTTTAGTCAGAATCAGATTCCCTCCCCTCAAGTACTAATCAATCAAAACATCAATTTAGACCCCACATTCATCTTCTGTTTCTCCTGTTTCTTGGGACACAAATACCACATGCTTGCTCACTTGGTTCCAGCAGGTTCATTAATCGTCCATCGCATCTCTTGCATGTCTCATGATCCTAGTATCTTAATTGCTTAGGTTTATTCTGTTCTGATCAATTATGATCTTTCCCTTTCTTCAAACTGTTTTAAAATGGTTGCTAATTAGTCATGTGATTAAGGTAGTTTACCTCCACAAGTATAATATATTACTTATCAAACAATATTTAGATTTGAATGGAGAGTTTTTCTTTCTTCTTAAGCTACTGTACATCTCAAAGTTCAGGAACCGTGCAAGTTTAAGCTTGAGTTTCAACCCTTGACACTTATACTTGTGATGGTTATGAGATTAATCATTAGTCTTTGGGGAAACCCAGAAGAAAAAGCAATATTGAAGAATCTAGTTTAGAAGGAAAATGCAAAAGACTTAAATGAAGTATTTTAGGTAAAATTTATAAAGTTTTTTATTAGAAACAATGAAATAAAAATTAAAAAATTAAAAAATCTAGCTACATACATTAAGTGTGTAAATTTTGAAAACATTTTATATCTTTTTGTATATACACATTTTTAGTAAAAATATTAATAAAATTTTTATCATTAAATAAATATCAAACAAATTTAAATTATAAATAATATTTTTAATATTTTTATATATTATTAATCTTTACGATGAACTGTAACAATATATCAATTTAAATTTTTTATTAAAATTTTAATTAAAACAGTTATTAAGAAGTAACTTATAAGTTTTGTCCAAAAAAAATGTGGTGTCTTCAACTCAATCACCCGAGTTACCAATTACTATCAAAGCGGACCACATAGCCTAAGCGATTGCCAAAACAACATAACCCAATTTCTCTTGAAGGGGGAAAATTATATATATATCCAACAGAAAATGACCTCTCACCCACCCAAATGCTAAACACCATCCATCAAAATGTAACCAAACTAGCAATTTGTAACTCTACTTTTACCTCCCAATTATTGGAGCTTCCTCCGATATATGTTATGTGCAATTGGTCTCACCTTCCTTGGGTTAACTTTTGTACATCAGTAAATTATAAAGATATATAATTAACAATTATAATAAAATTAATTATTATCAATACTTGAAATTCAAATGTATTGCATATTAACAAACCCCACAATTTATAAGGTTCATTGGGTAAAATTCATAAAATTTTTAATTTAAAATAATTCAATACAAATTTTAATAAAAAATTTAATTTGAAATAAAATTTAATAAGAAAATTTATTATATGTAAAAAAAATAAAAAAATAATTTGTAATATAAATTTGATCGATATTTATTTAAGGATAAAAATTACATCAAAATTTTTATCAAAAATACCGATCTAAAAAGTATACTAAAATTTTTTTAAATTTTATACCTTTAATTTATATAATATAATTTATCGATTTAATTTTTAATTTTTATTTAATCATTTTTAATAACAAGTTTCATAAATTTTATTTAAGAAACTTCATCTAAAATTTTTTAACAATTTTAAGGGAAAAAGCAAAACTATTTTTAAGGGAAAAAAAACATTAACAGAGATGGTAAAGTTTTTGTTTTTGCATTGCATATAAGCTTTTCTTTCTCACCCTATTACAATTTTCTTTTTATTTTCCACTAAATGGTTAAACCTCAGCCTTCATTTTTCTTTTGAAAAAAAAAAAAAAAAATCCTACTCTTCCTCTTCAGTTCATGGCTAGGCTTGCCAACCCCATATGTATTTACTAAACTGCCCTTCTTTAATCTAGTTCTGGCGGCCGTTAGCAGTAGTATTTCCTAACTGAATCTGACCGTTACATGTTCCATTACCGTTAACTTCTTTCGACTTCATCTTCTTAGCCTCTTCCCTCCAACCCACCAATTTACCAAAAAGCCCTTCCATTTCCTCGAGTTTTTTCCCTTGAGTCTCCGGAAATAACGTGTAGAAAAAGATAAACGCCGCCGTCGCAATCCCGGAGAACAAGAAAAAGGCCCCGCCAATGGAAATCGCCTTGTACAAGGAAAGAAAGGTCATCGAGATTACCCCGCTGGTCACCCTGTTAACCGCCACCCCCATACTCGTTCCCTGCGCGCGTAGCCTCAACGGGAAGATCTCCGAGCTGTACACCCACGTGATGGGCCCCATCCCTATGGAGAACAATGCCACGTAAGCCAAAACCATAGTGATGCATATTGCTATGGCCCATGTTAGTTTCTCGTCCGAATGATCGATGATCGTCAATGAAAGTCCGAGTAAGGCCAATGACGCAACCATGCCTCCTACGCTGCTGAGGAGCAACGGACGCCGTCCGATTCTATCTAGTAAAAACGTGGCCACCAAGATGAAGATTGTCTTGACAAATCCGACGGCCATGGTGGCTAGTAACTTATCGTTTGATGACGTGATCCCGGCTTTTTCAAATATCCTTGGACTGTACAAAACGACAGCGTCTATACCGGACGCTTGCTGGAAGAAATGAATCCCAATGCCGCAAATCAACACGTGCCTAACAGCAGGTGTGGGGTATAAAAGTAATTCTTTCCACACGCCTTCGCCGTGGGTTTGCTTTTGGACCTGAACGATGTCGTCGGTGCAATCTTGGGGGATTTCAGCTGCTTCTTTGATCTCACTGAGTCGAAGTTGAGCTTCTTCTTTGGTATCTGAAGTTTTGTCGAGAACTCTCTTGGCTTCACCGAGTCGGCCTTGCATAACCAGCCAACGCGGCGACTCGGGCATCACTAGAACCCCGATGGCCATGAAAACCGATGGGATTGCTCCGATGCCTAGCATTAGCCGCCACCCTAAGTAAGTTGGCAACTTCGAAAATGCATAGTTCGAAATGTATCCGAATAATATACCACTATTAATGAAAACCTCGGGGAATGAGGTGAGGAAACCGCGAGAGGAAGCGGGTGAGACTTCAGCGGTGTAGACAGGAGCAATCATGAGGGCATAGCCGACGCCGATTCCAGCAACGAAACGACCAACCATGAGGAAAGCGTAGTTTGTGGCGAAGCCCATGAGGAGAGCCCCCACAAAGAAAATGGCACTGGCAAACACGATGGTGTAACGGCGGCCGATCCAGTCGGAGGTTCGACCAGCTGCAAACGAACCGATGAGACAGTACACGTTGAGGATACCGACAAGGATTTCAGCTTGAACGTCACTGATTTTGAGGTCGTCTTGTATGAAGATAATCGCTCCACTCATTACTCCAATATCTATTTCAAGCAAAAGAACAAAAAAATTTTTAAAAAAATCATCCAAGCTTTTTTATGAAAAAAAAAAAAGATGCTACTGCTTTCTAGTTCATACCTAAATGAAAGCAAATAATTACTTACCATAACCAAGTAAGATAGAAGTTAAGGAAGCAAGTATGGCACAAGCAAAAGCGAACTTGTTTCTTTTAGGTTTCTTTGAAGGCTCAAAATCTGCAAGAGTTTTGTTGTCTACTACATCTTCTGGTTGAGTTGAAACAGCACCGTTCTGTGTTCCCAACCCAGCCATCTTTATCAGAAAGAAAAATGGAAGAGAGACTTTATCGTATGGTAGAGTTTCTGTGGAAATATCAGAGATTCAAGCAACCATGAATCTCCCAAGTTTGCTGTGCAGAGCCATTGTTGAGATGCAGAGTTTGCTTAAATAGACCAAAGTGTTACATCAATGTGGACCATACTCTACGAACACTCTTCCCACTTTTTTTTTCTTCCATTTTCATAATTTCCCCCATCGATATTGCAGTAGAAGTAGTAAAATCATGTGCGAGCTACCTGGATTATAATAAGTCTGGTCACTGGTGGATGATCTGTATCACAACTGTGTTTTATTTTCCCAAAATTATATATTGACGAAAAAGCTGAATGAAGTTGAACGGACAGTTACTAATGTGGTTGATGTCCTCATTTTGGCAAATAATCAAGTCCCCTTTTAGATCAATTTGGAGCCAAAAGACAAGAAACAGTGTTTTGTTGTATTTTTTTTATGGGTGTCCCAACAAAAATTTTGTGATGGATTAAATCCAATATGTAATTACTTTTTTTAAATATAATATTTAATAATTTTAAACTTTAATCTCTTTATTTTTTTTTTATTTTCAACTGTAACTTATTTTATATAAAAAAATGTGTGAGGGATCGATCTTATTACTTATGTAGCCTACTTTATAGCGTTTAGCTACCATGGATGGTAAGAGTAAAACATGGACGATGAGGCAGCCATCATTACAAAATGACATTTGGGGTCAAAAGAAGTCAGTAAAAAAAATTGGGCAATTGTCAATACTGGTGTGCCTTAATAAAATATTAAAATTTTAATTTTAATTAAAATTTAAATTTAAATTATAATATTTTTAAATAAAAAAATCGAAAATTTACTATTTTAAAATGTTCTCATCAAGAATTTCAAAGGCCTTCGCTAGCATTTCTTGGACAAGAATTTCAAAGTTTAATTATGAGTTAGGTATAAGACAGAACAATAATTACGGTTAACAATGAGTATTTTAGAAGAAAATTTAATTTTTTGTAGTTGAAAATTCAGCTTTCGTGTAAGCAGTGTCTCCAATTTACATGTAAAACAATCCTAATAGGTTTGACCAAATGGTAATGTTACTAATTTACCTAATATAAGATTTATTGCATAGATAAGCATACATAATTTAAAATTACAGCATAAGATAACATATCTTTTTACATCTTGAAAACAAATAATTTCTGAGTACATATCTTTGGCTTTTTTTAAGCTCCATGGGTTAACCACGCAATTGGCATGCACTTCTAATTGAAAAAAGAATTATATTTTAATACTAAATTAAATTTAATTAATTTATATAATCATTTTTAAAAAATAATATATGTAATTATTTAAAATTTAAAATTTAACACTTACAACATTTTTTTTTATTTCCAAACGACCTCTTTTATTAATAAAAAAAAATTACGTATTCTTATATAATACATACATTTCACATAATTGTCTTTTACTCATGATTGATTTTAGAAAAATTAAAATAAAATCAATCATGCTTAATAATATAACTTAGTTATCGCTCTTGCAAATACTTCATGCATTAAAACAACCTACGAGTTTGAGGTTTTTTTTTTACTATTTTTTTTTAACATCAGCCAAATTCATTTGCTTTCATCCCATAAAACCGGACATATTCGTCTTAATAATATATTGGTCACCCAGGGAGAAGTTGTTTGGTAGCATAATAAACAATATTTATTACTGGATGATCTGTTCATTTAAATAGATTAACTATCTAAACAAATTACTGGCAAAAAAAAAAAAAAAAACTTTACTAATAAATTAATTAAACATGTGCTGCACTCTTATTGGCATGATTTTTTAATTATTTATTTATACTTTTATTATTTGATCTTTGGAAAAGTGTACAAATTGTGGTTGGTACAAAGATGGAAACTAAAGACAAAGAAACAGATTAAAAATCAAATTGTTAATCTAAGTTAAATGAATGTTTTTGGGAATAACTGGATTTAGAGAGAAAGAAAAAAAATACAAATTCGCTCATTTTCATTTATTCTTCTTATTTTCTTCCTACCAACCAAAGAAAAAAAATAAAGTTTTTGTTTTTTTTTTCATTTCACACCCTTTCCTAGTGCCAAGTAGCTTCGAATGATTGAGAAATTTTAGTTTAGGTATTGGAATCAAATTTGGCAGTTTTTTTTAATTAATATCATAGATAATCTCTAAATTATATTGAAATGTTTAATGTGATATATAAATTTTAAAAATATTTAATGTGATATAAAAATTATAAATTTATTAATTAACATAATACTTAAAAAATTATTTGTTCGTCATATATTATCATTTGAATATAATCACATTACGAGAGAATATCACATTAAAATTTTGTAAAATTCAAATATTATATTAAATATTTTATTATATTTTATGAGACATTAATGATATTATCCCTTTAAAAAAAATAATTATCATCATAAAATCTTAATTAATATATATATCCTTTATATTAGAACCACTTGATATCTTGATGAAAAGGTCCACAAAATTATTATTTTCTTTTTTAAAACATAATATTAAACTCTTAGCAGCCATATCATCACATGTTAATTATTACTAAACTAAAATCCAAAATGAAAAAAGTCATAAAGGTGGTACCAAAATAAATGTTACCGTCCTAGAACAGATATGTTTCTAGGCAAGAAGACATCTAGATGTGACAAAAGGCAGAATTAAACAACAATTTTGGTTATTCCAACAAAAGGAAAGTATATGTATAACATATATTGCAAATTAATTAAATGAGAAATTGTCCAAATAATTTGAGCCATAATAATTACAAATTTAAGAAAAAAAATTATACTTGTTTGAAAGATAACAATCATATTCTTGTCTGTTTTGAACGAATATACATAATATAATTTCTATCATATATGAATTACAAGAATTTAGTTAAAAATATAGAATTTTAAATTTGTACGAGGAAAATTATATTTTTTCTAATTCATTTGATCGACATAACCTATAACCTACGCAAAACTATTCTTTAATTGAAAAAAAAAAAAAGATTGAATTATTTTCAACGATAGTTATTTTATTTTTTTAAGTAACGCAAGTCAACGAAGGAAGAAAAACACAAGGCATCGGCAGCTAATTGTTCGAATGATTTCCAGCTACTTGTCCAATTGTGACCCTCAACAACATCTCCTAATTTCTTAAGTCAACAAAGACAGCCTAATCTATCAAATTTGGGAAGAACCCACCTCGCTTTTTATATTGATATTGATCTTGAGAGACACCTTTGCTGCAAATCGCACCCCTTGTCTTAAATAATTGTTTAGTATTTTATTTCAATTTTTCTTCATTCTATTTAAAAATCCAAAACAAATTAAGAGTACTAGAAATATTTCGCAACTACAGTACATTTACAAGTTTACACATATAACTTTCTTATTTCTTCCACGTGAAGGAAGGAATATATATATATATATATATATATATATATATATATATAGATAGATTAGTCAGAAGAAGCAAAAAAATTTTTCTATAAAAGAGATCAAAGTTAAAGATGGAAAAAGAGATTATTTGCATTAAAATTTAAAATTTAAACTATTTTTTTAAAAATAATTATATAAATTAATTTAATTAAGTCCCATATTTTGGAAAAATAAAAAATAGTTTACTATTTAAGATTTAGTTTCATGTAGGGAAAATGTTAATATTTCATAATGCCCAAAATTGATATCAAGTTAATCACATACTATCTTATTTAAGTCTTAATCAAATATAATTTTTTTATTAATTTTAATATTTAAATATTAAAAAAAAAACTTTAAGTTTTTACTAAAAAAAATTTTTTCACCACAAAAATATTTAACAATCATTTATAAAAAAATATTAAAATATTTTTTTATAATTAAAATATTAAATTATGATCTCTTTTATAAAAAAATAAAATCAATTAAATAAGATAAAGAATTGCAGCCACGTATCAAAATTGGTGTTGTTAGCAATTCAATACTGATAAGATACACATCAATGTTGTAAGAAATTTTGTATTTATAATTTGACTCTTCTAAGTCATAAAAATTGACCACATTGAGTGTAAATTATTTCAAGACATCTCCTATAGACTTCAATTGCTTATTAGCTAATGTTTTCTATGCCAATAACTTCAAGATAGATACCAAAATTATGAAAACCAAGTTTTGTCCTTCAGAAAAATAGAGCACATTTTTTTTTTTTTTAATGTTACGTAAAGTGACCGATTGTGGTAAAAACTTAAATTGATAAAAAAAAAATTTAATAATATAATATTTAAATTCTAGCATATCATCTCAAACTTAATTATCTTTACGATTTATTATGCAAAACGTCTATTCCCATATAATAGTATAAATTTTTTTCATTTTGTATATAAAAGTTACACGAGATATATAGTAAACAAACTTTGATGACGAATTAAAATTTGACTATTTGGAGTGCACAATTTGACCGGGGGATGTAATCCTTCAAAGCATAATAGTCGTGCACGTAGAATTACTTGAACATTGTTGGTTTCTTTGACTTATATGAAATTAGATATAATAACTTTAAATAAGATATAAAAATAATTTTAAAAAATTAAAAAAATATATATCGAAATAAATTTTATATCTTATATTTATTCAATTAAATTCAAATACAATATAAATATATAAATTATCATATTTACTTAAAATCACAATCTGATTACAAAGAGATAAAAGTGTGAAGTGGCTAAATTGACAAATTTGCAAGCAAAAGTTAAATATTTTGGAATACTATAATTTTTAAAAAAATTTAATCTATTTTAAAATTTTTTATTTTACTTCTTATTTAATTAAAAATATATTATACATCTAAATTCATAACTTTTAAATATTAATTCAAATAATATATTAAATAATCTAAAAATTAATGGATTACTATTCTTTAAATTATCATCGTTTGCATGATTGTTTTTTATATTGAATGCTCGATAACTTCACGATAAGGACAAACGGATTAGAAAAACTAAAATAGAAAGTGCCGTTTAATTAACTTTGTTTGACTTCGAAAACTATCTTCGAGAGATTCTGCTGACGTTTCTTTATGATCTTTTATATATATAAATATTTATTCAGATACATTGGATCAAGTTTGGGATTCACAGATCTTCAAAGCATATTTTCCAAATTAGTTTCTTTTCCTTCATTTGTTTAATATAAAATTGTTTTTCTAGATTAAAATATGAGAATCATTGGGTATTTCTTCCGGGTTGCATATGCTGGGTAATTGATTTTTTTAATATATAATAAATTGTT